TAGAATCTCTTCCTCTTACAAAACAGCTGAGGGCTTTTCTCTCTCCCCGCTTCCCCAAGGATTGCCTCTGAGCATCGGCATCAAAGGACACGTGTGCTCTTGTCTCCTGCTCTAGGCGAAGGGTCACACTGGGCGTCCCGGAGCAGAGTTCAGGCCTCCGGATGAGCGTGACGCGGGCGCGGCTCTTCCAAAGGCCGGGGCCAGCCCGGAGGCTGGGACCACACCGCGAGACTGAGTAAAAGGGAGCCCCTGCGACATGCCACGGCCTCCCCCTCCCACGCCTGCTCTGTGGTCCTTTGCCCGTCTACCCGTCTGTGGTCCTTTGCCCGTCTACCCGTCTGTGGTCCTTTGCCCGTCTACCCGTGTGCATGCCGACACCCCAGAGGCAACTCTTCAATGACTCGGCACAGGGAGCCCTGTAAAAACTGCCTATTTTTCCCGGATTCCTTCTAGAAGAGTAAGAACCTGAGAAAATGTCCTAAAAGAAGTGTTTTTTTTTTTCTTAATAGAATCCTTCACCTACTGCTTTACCATAAAGCTGTGACTCCGAGATAGCTTGGGTTTTTCTCTAACGTATTTTGTGTAGTTTCAATTATAAAAGATCGTGAAACAGATTTCGAGTCCGTAAGCAAAACTTGCAGCCCAAAACCTTACTCCAGGTTAAGACTCAAGTGCAGCCAGAGCCAGTGCCGTTAGATGGTGACACAGTCCAGGCCAATCCTGGGACCGGAGTCAAGAGACTCTGGCCTGGTGGGAGGAGGGGGCGGGGACAACACCTGGACAGTGCCCGTCAGGGGTCGGGCGATTCTGGGGCAGTTGGAGCACAGTCTCGAAGCAGCGGGCTGCAAAGGCGCAGGAGCCCCGGGGAGAGCCGCCTCGTGGCAGCGAGAACACCCGCATCCAGGGCGAGGCATGAAGCAGGGAGGAGCCGAGCTCAACGAGGCAGAGGGAAAGCTGACAAAGAAAGGGCTAAAAATCGGAGCAGTGAGCTGCTCTTGGAGAAAAGGCCTGGCCGTGGGGAGTGGGTCCTCCCTCGTGCCACCCCGGCCCGCACGTATTGCCCGGGACTTTCTGTTTCTTCCGAGGCCCCTCTTTGTGGCACGGATCCTTATGTGCACTTCCGTTTGACGCCCCTGCCTGTGCCACCACCCCCTATGACCCTCCTCACCATCCCTCCGAAGCGAGAAACCACACGGGCCCGCTCACGTCTGACCAGTGGGTTTAGAAACTGCATGTCAGCAAACCCTTCACGCAGCGGAAGCCGAAAATGCGCCCCCTCGCTCCGTGCTGCTCGGCACGACTGTCGGCAAGGACGTTTTGGCCTCCGTTTTGAGATCAGGAACAAAACGAGCTTTTCCTTTTCTCTCGTTACTCTAGACCGCGTGCGTGAAAAAGGCCAGGGCCGCCCAGAGCGCTGGCGGGGAGGCTGTGGGCGTGTGCACAGCCGTCGGGTCCACCCGGGTCACCTGTCCAGGGCAAGGGGCCCACTCGCTCGAGGCCCGCGGCTCAGGTGAGGCCAGGCCTACCCCGTGGGCTTCTGCTTCCTGCCCGCCGTCCGCAGGGGCACTTAAAAACAGTGTTCGCTGCCCTCTTGGCTCAAAAGCAGACCAGTGGCTCAGAAAAGTAACCTTCTGAATAGACGATCCATTCACATGATGTGAAAGTTGAAACACAGAAAGGGGCACGCACCGGAAGGCTTCCCGGCCAGCCGCCGCCGTCACGTGACACAGCCCGTGTTCCAGATCCTTCCAGAGACGCTGCAGGCACACGCAGACGGGCAGATCGTCGGTACGTGTGCATGTATATTCTTCCCTTCTTTTTTGGAAGCTACAAATGGCATCGTTCTGCACAGATGGCTCTGCAGTTTGCTTCTCGTCACTGACCGCGCCCTCTCGGGACACGCAGAACGCCGGGGCCTGCTGCGTTCCGTGGGGACCGTGGCTGCCGCTGCGGATGTGCCATCATTTATCTGAGCTAAAAAACGGACGAGCGTCTGTGCCTCCAGCCTCCGCCTCCCAAACACCGGGTGATGGATGACCCTGTGCACTTGCCACGGAGCAGTTACACAGATGCATCCGTCCGCAGATGTAGTTTCGAGCCACACTGCCCTAACGCCTCCCCTCCCCAGCGGGGACTTGCTTCCCTTGGGCCTCTCACGGGCCGCGTGGGGGCGGTCTGAGCCAGCAAGTCCGGCCGGGGCTGGGAGCGAGGTCACAGGCAAGGCCGAGGGGCCGGTTTGGATGCTGCCCCACAGTAGGACATTTGTGGGTGCTTTGCAGTGCCGGCTGAGGGACGCACTGGAGGTCTCAGGGCCGGCTGCTCCTTAACAGGAAGAGCCGAGGCTCCCGGAGGGGCTCTTGCGGGTGGTTAGGATGTGGTCGGTGGCACAAGCTTTTGAGCCTAAACTGTCCCCACCCCACCCTACTCTGTTCTTCCCCTCTATTGGGGTTCCAGTACTCACCCCAGAAAGCAGGGTACGCCCCCAAGAAGTGCACAGGACAGGCCCCTGCATCCCATGGCTGGGGGGAGAGTTTTGAGCATGGACCACAGAATTTCCTGCCTGCTGGACCACGTCGCCGAGAGCTAGCCCGTTCCAGGCCACCCTGCGAGGAGCCAGGCTGAGGACTCTCTCACTGAAAGAACCGAGGGCGGACACGCCACCACTCCTGGGGGCCTGGGGCCGGCCAGGCGCCTGGCGCCACAAACAAAGTAGCACAGGCCCTGCCTTCCCTGGCCCCCAGCAGCCGCCTCTGCAAAGCTGGCACACCCCTCCGAGCCTTGGCTGGCGTCCTCATTCTTCGCCCTCCTGTGGCCATCTCTGGGGAACGCTGGTGCCACAACCCGGGATCCTGGCCTGGAGCAGGGCTGGGACCTGGGCCAGGCGGCTCCTTTGTCATCCTGCCCGCCAGAATGCCCCGTCTCCCCTCTGAGAGCTGCTAAACCGTGAGCTCTCCTCCTGCTCCATTCCCGCTCCCCTCCTCCCCCTCCCATCACCCCCAGCCCCCCTCAAGGCAGGCCTTGCTTCTCAGGACCTTTGAGGGGAAACTTCTGTTTTCAGAAGGGTTTGGGGTTTGAGGGTAGAACGTTCTAGCTCCTGCTTCCACCAAGAGCTTCCCCGGAGGGCAGCCTGGGGCTTGGGAGCAGGATTGTGCTGAGTGTGACTGATGCTCCTTTAGTTGGTCACTTCCAGAACTTCTACCCAAGCAAGATGTTCTCCCCAGGGAGGGAGAGGAAATTCGAGCTAAGCCTGAGACTTACCCGCTCCCTGCTCCCTCCTATCTCCTGTTGGCCGGCGGGCATTTACCCAGCTCCGTCCCCTTGCCCAGGACAGCCTGGGTCCTGTGGGGCCTAGAGTGCACGGATGGGGTCTGTACCCCAAGGACTCACACGCTTTACATGTGGCTTCAGCTTGTCGCTGACAGGGAACACACAGTTCAGGGGACGGAGGGCTCACGGGCAGAGAGTCAGAAGCCTGTCTGACCTGACACCTGACTGGGAGGCCACTGTAGGAAGTGAGGGGGACACACATGTGCACGGGGATGGAGGACAGTTGTCCGGGACGTGGCACAGAGCACGTTCTGGGCGGGAGAGACGCAGGCGCTGGCTTCGTGGGCTGACTGGTTCCTGTCTCGGTCAGAAGCAGCAAGTGGGTGGCCTTGGCCGTGTCCACTGGCATCTTTGCTTTCACTTGCATCATTGAAAAATTTCAAATGAACGTTTTATGTGGTCACCTGTGAGATGCGGAGACCAGGGCCACATCTGGATCCCGCTTCTCCTGGAAAATGAATCCACACCAGGCAACGGCGTTGGTTTCCTGGAGCTGCCGTAGCCAAGAAGCGGGTGGCGAGAAACAAGGCTTTCGTGCCCTTGAACTCCGCAGGCTGAGGTCTGAGCCCAGGTGCTGGCCGGGCCGCACCCCTCCCGGGCCCTGGGGCGAGCCCTTCCCCCGCCTCACCCAGTTTCCAACCGTTGCCCGCGGCCCCTGGCATCCTCAGCTGGCAGATGCACGGCTCCGACCCCAGCCTCCGCTGTCGCATGGCCTTCACCCCGTGTATGTCTCTGTGATTCCTCCTCTCATAAGGACACTAGCCACATTGAGTTAAGGACCCACCCGACTGCAGTATGCAAAGACCCTGTTTCCAGACCAGGTCACAGTCACAGATGCTGGGGATTAAGACTTCAACATGTCTCTTTGGGGGACACAATTCAACCCAGAACAATGATCTTATGGCGTAATCAACTAGACATGAGTGACGGCCGCCTGTCCGAGACGGGCCCCCTGGACTGCACAGACCCCGTTCACGTAGACGGGAGTGTCCTGGCGGATCCGTGTCCCCAGTCTCCCCGTGTGCTTCCTCCTCGTTCCCGTCCCTCCAAACCTTCACTCTGCAAGTCCCCTCCCCAGTCCCACTCACTCACCCTCCCGGCGAATTCCCCCGACTACGAACTCACGGAGGCCGTAGTGATGATGCGCGTTTCGACAGCCATAGTTCGCCTCGTATGCTGTAACGTGACGTCTGCGACATTGACCTTCGACTCTGTTGAATCCTCTGTGAATCTTCCTGTCTTCTCTTGAGTGATGAGGGTGCTCCGGGCACCGTGCCACTTTGTAGGGGAGGAGAGGGGACCAAACGGGGTTTGACCGAACAGGGGAAAGAACGTCCAGTGTGTGTGTGTGTGTGTGAGACTTTCTCCCAGACAACATCTGAACTATCCGAGCACCGCCCCGCTCACACACACACACACACACACACACACACACACACACACGCACGGCGAGGGGACAGTGCCCACGACGCAGGCTGGATGACGAGGGGATCTCTGGACACATGCTTTTCAGGGATTAGGAACAGGTTTATAAACGCTTGTCCCCAGTATTCAGAATTTAATGACGTGATTCTTGCCGTTTGGGATTTGGGGCGCTTGGGTATGGAGGAGCCTAGCTCTGCGTCCTCCGCCTCAGCCAGACTCCTCACAGGACTTTCCGGTTTCCTCCTCAGCCTCGGGCCTCTCATCCTCACCGTCGACACCCACCCAAGTGACCAAGCAACACACGTTTCCTCTCGAATCCTATAAGCATGAGCCTGAGCGACTGGAAAATCGTATCTATGCCTCGTCTCCCCCTCCGGACACGGGCCAGAGGTTCTGCCCGTCTTCCTTTCAGAGTTCGTCGAGGCCGCCGTCGGCATCACCGACACACTACACTCCCTCCAAAACCGTAAGTCTGGGCCGTGTCCCGCGGGCGAGCTGCCAGGCGTCGCGAGGGAGGGCAGGGTCTGACTGCCTTCGGCTGAAGCTAAGCCTGGGCATCCTGACGTGTTTGGTGTACTTTATTATAAATCACAGGCTGAGGGGGAAAGAAAATGAGGAGGGCCCAGTAGGCACATGGAGTCTCGTGAAAAATAGTAACATCTAGAACATGACCAGAAAAAGCTTTGTGTTCCCTTGGCTGCTTTTTAAAAATCAGTCATGAAAAGCTTTGTTTGAATTTGTCCTGAGTGGGATGCCAAAGTAACAAGTCATAGGCAAAGCAAAAAAAAAAAAAAAATTTTTTTAATAGAAATTTGATTCTAGAATTTTAAGATTTAACGCTTGACATCATTTGAGTTGGGAAGCGTTCTTGAAAGGGTGAGCCTTTCCAGTTGGAGCAGGGGTGAGGCAGGTGACTGTGCATCCTTCCGAGAAGTAGCATGAGTGAGTGTCGATGGAGGAAGCTGGCTTAGCTACAGCCCTGACACCCTCTACTTTGCCGCCCAGGACCCTAACGTGGCGACTCCGGCCCTCACTGCCTGCCTGGTACGTTAGGTATCACAGCTAGTCAAAATGACGCCCGTGTCTAGCAAGGACATGAGAATCACACCCCTAAGAGCTGTCTGTCTGGATGTAACTATTTCATTCGGTTGTTGCATTAGTTCCTGGGGCCGCTGTAACAAAGTAGCACAAACTGGGGTGGGGCTGAAAACAGCAAGAAGCCATCGTCTCTCAGTTCTGGAGGCCGGAAGTCTGAAACCTCCCAAGTCTCTAGCGGAGCGTCCTTCCTTGCCTAGTCCAGCTTCCGGCTCCCCAGACCTTTCTTGCTTTGGGGCAGCGTCACTCTCGACTCTGCCTCCATCGTCACTCGTCTGTCCTCCCTGTGTCCAGGTTAGATTACCCTCTTAGAAGGACCCTGGTCATCGGATTAGGGCCAAACCTAATCCAGTATGACCTCCTCATAACTCGACGGCATCTGCAAAGACTTGATTTCCCCATAAAGCCACGTTCACAGGTATCAAAGGTTAGGACTTCAACTAGCTTCTGGGGGACACAGTCCAACCATAACAGTTGATATCTTGGGAGAAAGAAGATGGGTTTGTCACACAGAGGACGTGCTATTGCTATGGTTTGTGTTCATCCTGTGGTTATTTTATTAGATGTTTGCTCAGCAGAGTATTAAGTGTGAGGAGTAAAATGCAAGCTATCGTTTCTGCCTTCCGGGACCTAGTCTTACTGGAACAGAATGACACTCAGATAAAAGTTAAGTAGAGGCAGAAGTAGGTTGGGTGGGGCTAAGGAGTGAAAGAAATTGTCGGCACCGCAGGAGTTGAAAGAGGGAACATCATGCTGTCTCCATGCGGTGGCACCAACCAAGCTGAGCCTGAGCAGCTGGTAGGGTCTAAGTAAGGAGAGGTGGAGGGAGAGCCTTCTAGAAAAGAAGATTAGCCATGACCCGGGTGGGAGTGAGTGTGGCGAGGGGCGTGGGGAAGGAGGAGGTCCTGGTGTAGAGCAGTGGCTGGGGCCTGCCTCTGGGCCGTTGGGGACCTGCCGCAGACTGCGGCATAGACAGAAGACAGGAGACCGCGGCGGGGGGGGGCCGAGAAGTCCAGGCGTGGAGTGGCACAGTGGCCCCGCAGAGCTAGGCCCAGGAGGAAGGACCTCCACGTTCTTGGGGACCAGCGAGGAAAGATCTGGAGAGGCTTCCGTTTTCCTTTCTGGGCGTTTAACAGTGAGCCTCGGTGATAGAGATAATGGGGTGCGAAAGAATCTAAGAGAGGAACCCAAAGATTATCAAAAGCAGGAAGCTCCTACCCCCTAGGGCCAGAGGGACAGTTAGAGGAGCTGGTGTCACCAGGCCCCTTCAGAAGGGAGGTGGGACCACGTGTGCCTGCCTGGCAGGAGCTGGAGCCGTGGGGGAGAAGCAGCCGCTGGCCGGAGATGCCATCTGAGGCAGAGGGACAGAGATCCTGGCGTTTCTGCCTCTTCCTGCCCTCCAGCCTTGTGCCAGACCTACCCAGGGACCAGGGAGCCAGGAGATCTGGAGTGGACAGACCCCGTGGGAGCAGGGAACAGGGGGAAGACCAGGGAAGGGAGCAAGCAGGGAACTGGCCAGCGGAGAGGATTAAGCGATAGGGGAGATGGAAAAGTCTCAAAATATTGGCTGCTTCTCACTGACCAGTGACAGTTGGTAGAATAGCCCCATTTAAGAAGAGACACTGATTTGAAGAGAAAGCGGTTATTTTGGCTTTAGATCATTTGAGCGATGGTGACAGATACAGACACGGGGTTTTCTCCCGATTACACGAGTTCTTGTTCTCCGGACAAGCCTGTAGCGGAGAACACAGAGAGCCCACGGTCCTCTGTCCCCCATGATTGTGACGAGGGAGTGACGTTCTTAACTGTTTATACTTCACACAACAGCGAGGCCGCCGAGCCTGAGTCCTCCAGCCTGGCTTTTGGAGCCAGAGAGGAAGTGTCCTAGGCTGTATCCATACTCAGCGATGGACACGGGCCATGTGCCCTGGTCAGGAACCCTGACGGTGCGTGTGACAGTACTGTGAGATTTCAACGATGATCCAGATGTCATGAGCGGATAAACAAAGATGTGGTCCATCCATACAGTGGACTATCATCCAGCCTCCAAAGGGAAGGAAATTCTGACACGGGCTACAACGTGGTTGAGCCCCGAGGACGTGATGCCAAGTGAGATAAGCCAGTCACAAAGGACAAACACTGCGTGATTCCACTTATACGAGCCGTCGATTCATAGAGACAGAGAGGAGTAGAATGTGGATGCCGAGGGCTGGGCAGGGGCAGGGTGGGAGTTGTTTACTGGAGACAGTTTCGGTTTTGCCAGATATAAAAAGTTCTGGTGATGATGGTGATGGTTGAGCCACAAAATCAATATGCTTAATACCACCACGTCGTCCTCTGAAAAACGGTTAAAACGGTAGCTTTAACATTATGTGTATTTTACCACAGTTAAGGAAAAAGATCCAGTCGAGACTACACAACGTCGATGTAGTTTGAGCTGCAGAAAATCAGGGTGATCAGAGAGGCTCCCCACTCGTGTTTTGAAATGACATGTTTCAGTTTCAAAATTGGAAGATATGCTGTCTGTCGGCTACCTGACATTGAACAGGGCCTTAATCCCATTTGTAAGTTTTGTCGCCCAAGGCCTCGGGGGCCTGTCTTCCCCAGGGGCTACTCTCAGCCTCTGCAGCCGTGGTTCGGCCCAGGCCTCTTCTGCAAGCAGCTGCCCTTGGCCGGGGGTAGTTTCAAGATTATCTAAAGTGTGTTTCTTTATAATTGGATTGTGTCGAATGTCTTTAATTTATGTGCTAAGTTTTTTAAGAGCTGGGCTGACCTCATTAATTTGGCTCTCAGCATGATCTTCATGGAGGATGCGAGCCGCCTGAAGACTTCTGTCAGCCTGACAATATTTAGATACAATTTATCTCTGCTTTTTGGAATAAAAAGATACTTTCTGTAAACACTGACCATGGAGATCACTTTTATAAAATTTGTTCCCATGAATTTTCCTCTAAAATTGGAAAGGGGTTGGAGGTAATTAATTAGTCTTTAGTAGGCAGCTCCCGTTTTATCATTTATTTACTCAGCAAACACTGCGTCGTGCCAGGAACTGCACCGGGAAAGGATGATGGGGTCACAAATGCGTGTCCCTCTCGTGAGGCGGGGACAGCGTTCATTCTCTTCACTACCCGAGGAACAGTGCATTATCCGTGGGAGGGTTTCGATAATCGCTAATAACTACTTGGACAAAAGGAGGAGCTTTTGTCTGTTTGGGGGGTGCAGGCAGGTAGGTGAGTACGACAGAGTTTGGTAGACCGAGTTTGATAGACCCTGTAGTTCTCACGGGAGGAAACGCCCCGTTGTGTGTATCAATCAGCTCTGCGCTCGGAGGCGATCCCCCCAGGCTGGGGTGGGAGTTAGATCGGACTTGGGGAGCACAGGCGCTCAGATGAGTCGTGGCATGAAGTGATCCGGGCCTGGCGGCAGCCGCAGACAACAAAAAGCAGAATAACCAGTGTTAGAAATACAGAGCTGTTTCGGAGGTCCCGCTGCGAGAGGAACTTGGAATGTGGTGATCGACGAGCCGAGGGAAGACAAAAATCAGGGAAGGTTCCAGACGCCTTGGGGAACTGGACGGTGGTGGCTGCGTTTGCTGGGGAGGGGAGGAGCGGGCTGTGCGTGCGCGTGTGTGTGAGCGAGCACGTCTCTGTGTGGGGGGCGCTGTCTCGGGGTAGTGGTACAGTCAGGGGCCCGTGGGACATTCTCAGCAGGTGCCCAAAGAGCCACGGGAGGTGTGCGTCCGAAGCTAGAAATTAATGTTTGAAAATCATCAGAATACAAATGGTAGTTTGCACAGTGACAGGAGATAAAATAATCCGGAGACGTGTAGCAGGTGAGGAGAAACGTGAACATTCAAGAAACAAACAGAGGAAGAGGCTTCTGAATTGCCAGGAAAGTAGGTAGAAAACTAGGCAAACACAGAGTCACAGAAGCAAAAGGAACGTGCTTCGCCGTGTTTCCTGCGTTTGGAGGGAGGGATCGGCACCTTCAAACGCAGCCGACCGGCGTGGCACGTGAGGACCAAGGTCACTGAGATACCCTTGGCAGGAATACCTCCAGGAGCACGGTCCCGAGCAGAAGGCACGTGACGGCTCCCAAGGACTAGGCGGGAAAGCCATGGAAAGCTCTAGAGCAGGCAACTCTTTCAGGGATCCTGACATTGAAGGGGAGGGGGCGGGCCCGCAGCTGGAAGCGTGGAGGCCATGGTTCCTTCCCACGCGTGGGAATGGGTTTAAGCACGAATGGGGAAGGGGTCGGCAGGAAGGGAGCACTTCGAGATAAAGGGGAGAGAGCAGGCGTTGGGTCTGGTCTGCAAAGGAGACGGGCGGGTTTCCCTGGAGGCGGGAGCCCACGGTGGAGCTGTTGTTGGTCCTGGACCAATGGAGGAGTCGCCTTCCACTGGGTTGAAAATGCGACGCAGAGGTCTCAGGATGATCAGTGCTTTTCCAGTTTTCTTTCTACGGGAGTCACTGCTATGCTTTCCTTGTTTTTCTTCTAGGAATGTCACTCTTGGCCTGCGTCTTGGGTCAGGGTCCCCTAGAAGCAGAGTCCCCTAGAAGCAGGGTTTCGGATTCCCGTTTGTTTGTTTCTTAGGAAGTTTGTTTCCCAGAGGAAAGCTGCAAAGTGCAAGGGAAGGGCAGAAGCAAAGCCAGCGTGTGGTGTCGGACGAGACCCTGCTGCAGCCGAGGACAGGGGAGCCCTGGGGTGTCACCTGCCCCAGAATCTGCCCTCCCCAGAGGCAAGGAACCTGGGCTTTTGCGCCCTCACACCAAGTAGTTACGAGATGTCCCAGAGTGATGGAACGGCACCTCCACCTGTCACCTAAGAACAATCCTGTAAGAAATTTGACAGTTTGAGCCGTGAGCAGCAACCCCCACAGCAGCTGGGTGCCCCAGAGGCCGTGGCAGGAGCCCGAGGCATCCGCTGCAGCCTGGGGTCTGCATCCTCTTCTTGTTCCTGGTCGCTGGCTGTATCCAGTGGGATCGAGTACTGTATCTGTTTTTCTATTGCTGCCCAACAAACCTCCCCCAAATTTAAGGCAACGACCCTTGGTTTAGTTCACAGCTCCGTGGGTCAGCGGTGTGGGCCGGGCATTCTTCTGGTCTCGGCTGTGCTCACTCCCACATCTGTGGTCACTTACCAAGTCAGCGGGGGACTGGCTGGCCCAGAGTGGCTTCCGCCGGAACAGCTTTCCTCTGTTCCGTGTGGCCTCTCCCGCTCCGGCAGGCCAGCTCCCGTGACAGTGACGGAGTTCTACGCGGACGTATGTGCGTGCGAGGCCTCTGGAGACCTAGGCTCAGACAGGCCCGCCGTAGCTCCCGCCGTCTGAGGCAGGGTCCATTTCCTGTCCCCTCGAATCTGGGTTGGGCTAGGACTAGCTTTGGTCGACAGAAAGAAGCGCAAGTGACAAAGTCACATCGCAGAGAGCGTGGACATGGAGTGTGGGGACCAATTTCGAAGTCTGCCACGCGTCTTATCACCCGATTTCCGCAGCCGGGGTCTGCATTTGGGCACACAGTAGACTAGTCTAGAGGCTCATTGATCTAAGGAGTCTCGTTTAGATGGTTCACTTCTCCGAGAGTGGTTTCCTGTAGACCGTTGGAGCGTGTGTTCCCTGAGGCGGATCAGTGTGCGGGACGTGTGTTAGGGCGTGCTCTCAGGAGAACGGGAGCGAGGGAGACGGTGTGATGCTCTCCGCAGCCCCTCAGGGAGCACTGAGCTGGGGGACCCCTCAGTGTTGTCCCACATCGGGGCAAAGGAGCCAGGCCCTTCTGCCTTCGAACCAGCCAGCCATTAGGTGACCTCTGAGCTGTCCTGGAGCTGGGCTGATCTTGGGCAAGGCGACTCTCTTCAGCCAAGATCAGTCCTAGCTCGTAGCGGAAGGTCGCAGCTGGCAGAGTCTCAACAGGTAGGGGAGATCCTTCACTCCCGAAAGGCCATCTGACTGGTACGTGAGACCACAGCCCCAGCCAGCACCTGACTGAGGCCCAGTCAGAGGCCCTGCTCCAGGACCACCCAGCCGAACTGCTCACAAGTTCCTGACCCACAGAAACCATGAGACGTCACATTAGTCTGCTGGGGCTGCCATAACAAAACACCACAGACTGGGGGGCTGAAACCAGCAGTCCCCAACCTTTGTGGCACCAGGGATTGGGCCTCCCATGAGCATCTTACGCCTGATGATCTGAGGCGGAGCTGAGGCGGTGATGCTGGTGCTGGGGAGCGGCTGCAGATACAGACGAAGCTTCGCTCGCTGGCCCGTTGCTCACCTCCTGCTGTGCAGCCTGGTTCCTAACAGACTGCAGACTGGCACTAGTCTCTGGCCCAAGGGGTGGGGACCCCTGGCTTAACCAACAGAAATTTATCTCTCACAGTTCTGGAGGCCAGAAGTTTGAGCTCAAGGCGTCGCAGGGTCGGATTCTCCTGAGGCCCCGCCTTGGCTGGTGGAGGCCACCTTCTCGCTGTGTCCTCATGGGCCCTGCCCCCCATGCCCACAGCCCTGGCGTCTCTTCCTCCTTTATTAGGGCACCATTCCCGTCGGTCGAGGGCCCTACCCTTTAAAAAAAAAACCTGTCTGTCTAGCCACTGAACCCACCTCCAAGGTCCTTAGTTTTCCTAGGTAGATATTTGGAAGGAAATCCCTAAGCCATCTTTCAAGATTGTTATTTAGAATAATTACCCTTTTTTTTTTTTTAAGATCAGAAACCACTTTAGAAATCTTAATAATATTTCAGATCGCTTGCTATTAAGCAGCACTTACAGATCTTACACGCCCTACTTGGTTTTTGAATCCCTGTCTCACCGTCTCAGATATCCAATGACAACCTAAAAAGGTCTTGAGGATGTTAAAACTATCTGCCCAGAAATGGTAAACTAACGGTCCTGCAGCCTGTTACTCACACAGATTAGATATTTTAAAAATAGTTTGGGAAAAACTCCACATTGGGCGCAGGAGCAGCCACAGAGGACTGACTCATGACAGGCTTGGTTATCGTGAGAGCTGAGCGCAGATGAGCACTGCCTGTGTGTCGAAGACTCAGGCAGAGGATATCTACTTCCTGGCTGTCCAAAAAAGGTATTATAGTTGGCATTCCTCCCGTGTTCCTGTCCTGATGGAATCGTGGCTGATGAGCAGAAGGAAGGCACAGCCCAGCCCGGAGAGGCATCCTGGGCTAAGAGCTTGGCCCGTTTTCCTGAGCAGTGCTCTGAGTCTTTGGGGTTCTTGCTGATTCTGTCCCCTGGGGTAGCTGAGCTCCAAGGAAAGCATGCCAGATCATTTTGCCTCAAGATTCTTTTTTTAACTTGATACATGCCCTGCCTCTGTCACCTCCCAGGGACCCAGAAGAGAAATCATTCATTCGTGAGTCTATTGTGTGTCGGGCACTGTACTAGGCACCGGGTATTCAGTGACCATTGAGAAAATTCCTGCCCCGCAGGATCAGGCCCCCGGAGCTGAATTGTTAGGTGCACCTTGCATCTCGTGGCTCCTGGGTCATACATAGCCCAACAGACGGTGGGAGGTGGGGGAGGGGCGGATTTCTGCTTCTGAAGATCCATAGGCAGCGCCATGATCACAGCGGTACAAATGTGGGCCACAAAGCGCGTGCTTCCGGTGGCAAGCCATCCCGCTGTCTGGGTTGATGGAGCCAGCCCTTCTCAAGCTCAGTCTGCCGTGTGGGCAGCGGCCACTTTAGCGTTCAGCTTGGACTTCTCCACCCCAGAGGAGCACCCACCCCTCCCCTGGGAGGGACAGCGGTTAAAACGTTGGTGTCACTTGGTTTTGCGGCGTGCGCTGGAGCCGAGCCGGTAATCTGCTAGTGCTCAGAGCTTCCACCGGGAGGTGGAAGACGTCGCCCCTCACTTGGCCGGTGGTGTGAAAGATGTCACCTAAATATGTGACAGCGAACATATCTCTGTTGCATACACCAATCACCGGTGTCTACAAACCGGGGGCCGAAGCCAGCTCGCCGAGGGTCACTGAGTGCGAGAGGACAGAGCACGGACGGGGAACGTGGACAGCTGTGTCGAGAAGTCTGGTGTGAAGGGATGGTGGGAGTCAGGGCCGTGGCAGCCGCGTGTCCAGAGGGCATTTCTTTTCAAAGGTGGACGAGTCACGAGCACGTGAGCATGCTCGTGAAAGGACTTGGAGTTTCCCGAGCCGTCGGCCCCGCTCCACTCACGCCTCAGTTCCAGGAAGGTCGTGCTTATCTCTCAGGGCCGTGGCGAGTCGAATGACAATCTGTGCAAAGCTATCCGAAGGCCCCGTAACTAGCAACACTTACGTCAATATTTGAACCAGGGCGATTGGGGCCCAAATCCATGCTTTTAGCATGGTTCCCAGCCCCCTCTAGAGAAGGCTGAGCATGTTGATTTGTCCCTCATCCACTGGCCCAGCTTCTTAACGCCTATCCCCAGTTCAGGGGTTGGCACATTCTGGCCCCCCATCCGCGTTTGTAATTAAAGTTTTATTAACACACAGCCACACTCGTTCATTTACGAACCATCTGTGGCTTCTTTCCTGCTCTGACAGCAGAGGTGAGTAGTTGGCCACAGAGACCAGACGGCCTGCGAAGCCTAAAATATTTACTATCTGGCCTTTAACAAGAAAAAAAAAATTGCCAACCCCTGACTCATCTGTGCCAGAGCCTCCTTTACTTCCACCCAGTGATCTGATAGGACATCCCGTGCAAAGTGGCAGAATGAGACCCGTTCCCAGCAAGGCAGGAGACAAGCAGCGGGGCTTTACCCGCCGAAGACACGGACCAGTTTCCTGGGGCAGCAGTTGGCATTCATGGGGTGAGGACTGAGCAAGGAGACCAGAGCGGAAAGTCAACGCTCGTCCGAGAGATGACAAAGGGCTGAATTAAGGCCACAGGAGTGGGGATTCAGAGGAAGGGGTCAATCAGAATAGTCCGTAAGAGATAAAACAGGATGGCCTCGGTGTGGCACGTGGGAGGAGGATGCTGCGGTGACTCTCCAGTGTCTGGCATGAAAGGACAGATGGCAGTGTCATCAGGTCAGGAAAGAGAAGTAGATCTGGGGGTGAAGGGTAAGCTCCATTTGGGGCGCACTTGCTGTGATTCTTCTGGGACATGAAACAGAGACACCAGGCGCCTGGAAGGGAAAGCCCGCAGTGCAGACGCAGGGCTTCGAAAAAGGATTCTCTTTGTCCATTTCATTTCCTGTGTATTAAATCAAAGACATCCAGACTCTGAGCTCCTTTCCCTGTAACTGCAGGTGCAAGGAGGAAAACAAGCATGATTTAATCTTAATAAGGAACATTTCTTTACCAATACGGTTGTATGAAAACGCACGGGGGGGGTGGGCGAACATCAGGCAGTGGAAAAATTACTGTACCTGCTCATGCCTTCTAGTCCTGCTTGTCTCGATTTGCATTTAGATGGGAATTCCTTCGGCACGGAACCAGGATTGTCCCTTAACTCGTAGCACTTAGAAAAGCATTAACTTCAGCTCGCGAAGTATCATTGGTACAAGTGACACAAAACATAACACCGGTATTAATAGCGTCCCCTTAATGACTTGGTAGAAACCAGCTGTCGGAACGGTGGAAAAGTTTAGACAAGCCTCCTCTGGGGCCTCGGAGAATGGAGTGCATAACCTGTTAATGAGTGACCGCCCAAATTCTCCAGCAGTGCGTGGGCGAACCTGTTTCATGAGGCTGCGTGTGGGAACGCGCTTTTTCCACTATTTTGGAGGCTCGACATGAAACCCTAAATCGTCTCTATTTGGGGTCCTGAGTAAGAATGACATCTGGTCGTCTTGCGCATGCTTACAGAAGAGGTATATTTCATTCGGAAAAAAAAAGGGACTTTGAAGCAGGTGGTTCTAAGGAACCACACAGGAAATTCTACCGTGAGCTCTACCCGTCTGCCGGAGATTTCCTCTTCGAACTGTAGCAAAAGCAGATTGAAAGCCCGTCGCTTACATGCGTTCATTCACAGCTTGGTAAGACGATTCAGTTATCTTGGTATAGTCTGATGAGGCCATTCCATTTACCTTTTTCGCGTTTGATTTTAAAAGTTAGCTCCATCTAGAGAAGTATTGGATCATCTCTTCTAAAAATAGCATTTCTCCGAGATGAAAAAGTCCTGGAGACCGGTCGCACGACAACGTGAACGCACTTAGCTGAACGGTGTGCTTAAAACGGTTACGAGGGAGAAATGGTGTTATGCGCATTTCTACCACAATTAGAAATTTAAAAAAAAAAAAATCCTCTCATTATGAAAAGAAAAGCATAAAGAAAAAGCTTCTTGCAATTCCGCCTCTTGGAGACAGGTAAATCGCGGTGTGGCATTTTTTCCACGTAGCCTTTGTCATGCTTTATCCACAGATGGGGAGAGAGAGACAGAGCTGATGTAGACTATGCGAGACCACTTCGCAACCTAGCTTTGTGCCTGGTATCATCATCAGGCCCCTGTCTCAATTTACATAGTTTGGTTGTTAGGAGACTGTCATTTTGAGAAGTCTCGTTTTCATAAAAATCTGTATTAACTATTATTTTCATACTATTCAAATTATAAAGCCCGCCACTGGGTCTCATACAGTGAACGACCAGAAGTATCTAGAGCCCGGAGAACAGGTGTAGTATACCGAAGCCATCAGGTAGAGATCGTGTTGATATTTAGTGCAATTTCAATAGATTTACTCAGTGATGAAATTTTTTTAAGAAACCGAGTATAAGAGACTTCAGTACCTGGAGGCCAAAAGGGATTTTTGAGCTGTTTGCCTGCCTGAGACTCAGCTGCCACTTTGAGGAGTCAGGTGAGCAGGGAAGGAAAGAGTTTTCCCTGCTTCAGGTCTGTCCTTGTCATGGACTCGAACCTGGCCTTTCAGTTGAAGATTGGTGTGGGGGGTCCCCCAATACTGCTTTCTGTGTTCACTACCCGTATTTAATGATACTAAATGGGGATATAATATTAACATGGTTTATTCTCTTCCAGCACGTAACAGCAGATTCCAGAAATCATTTTCTGTGAGCTATGTTTGATGCGTTCAAACACAGCTAGTGGAAAATACGTACTTTGTTCATTCAGAATTTTTCTTGGTATGGCCCCCAAAAGGCTGTATGTATCCAACACTCTGTGCTGAAATAATCCAAGACATTATCTTCAGAATACAGGCCTGGTCTTAGCGGCTCAAGAATCTGTGACCCTTCCTGCTCTCGGGACCCGTGTCCATAGACAGGGCTGTGTTTTCACTCTGCCTTCCCGCTCACTCAGTCTTACACGTGGGCAATTAAAGGAAATTCCATCTGTCACTAGGTGTGAACTGTAGACCGCACTTAACTTGTGTGTTAGGTTTGCACGCATCCAGTCCTTCTCCGTCCGCCCCAGAAATAACCATGATAGGATGATGATAGCACACTGTCGTAGAAGCTTAGCCAGACTAGCCGTGGGTTAGTTAAAATCATCTTACAACCCGTCCCTTCTTCACGGGTTTGGGATAAATCCTATTGGATGGTGTTTCTGTATGTGTTCTCAGCCTCATACTGAATTAGGTCAGGCGCATTCGGTGGCAGATAATTGATGGAAATGGCATTTTCTGTCTTAAAATGATCTTCGGTGGCTTTGGAGACCGCATAGGACAACAGCAGGCCCTCTGGGACGTGTGGTACCAATGCCTACCGTTCTATGAATGGAATATAGCTCATTATTCTCTCTTTACAAAGGAGAGCAAGCGTTCGGCACGTCCGATTCCTGACAGCAGACGCAGGTTCTCTGCCTCCCCGCCCTCACGACGTGACACAGTCAGCCTCCCCCGCCCGGTCTGCAGATGGCGACATTAGCGGCTCAGTGGGAACCCACTTGTTGATGCCTGGGCCAGGCATACACTGTTCCAGCTCATTCCCATGCCCGCCCCGCCCGGGCGATATTATTCTCTCCATGTTGCAGGTTAAGAATGAAGGTTTAGAAAAAACTTGCGCCATCTGCTTCAGCTTTTATGGCTAGTGAATGTGAGAGGCATGATTCGAACGGGAGCCTACCTGCGAAACCCATGCGTTTTTCATTTCGCCAGTGGCGGCCCCCACATTAAGAGCAGCTACCATTTACGGGCACCTCGCCTGGGCAGGGGATGGTCCCGGGCACACAGCGCCCAGGGCACGAGGCTCGGGTGCCGGCGACATGCTGAGCGCACAGCGTGTGGCAGAGCCGGGCTCGGCGCCAGGGCCATCGAGGGCAGCAGGGCCTGAGCTACAATGTCAGAACACACCGTCGGCGCAGCAGCATTGTGTGGTCCCTCCGTTTTCTCTATGCTCTGGTCACATGTTTGACTTTGAGATCCATCTTCGAAATCTCAGCAGAAAGAGGCAATGGCCGATGACGCCCTTTCGAGACGTGTACCCTGCTTCTGAGTTCTGTGATGATGTTAACTTGAATCGAAGCACCGATCCAGCACGATGATGTCAGGAGACAACGAAAGATGAACGTTGGCTGTGTTCACACACTCTCTTCTCCAAGACGCTCGGGCCCCGTCAACGGATCTAGTCCTGCCCAGATCTACGCTGGGCAAAATAGATTGTTGGGCTAAGCTACTTCTTGCATGTGAACTCAACTGTGGTTTTTCTCACTGTCATGAAGCGTGGTGCATATTGTCACCCTTCTCAGACTTTTTTAGTTATTTCGAATTTTCCTTGACTCATCGGACACCACGTTTATATTTCTCTCTGCCCACGATAAACAAGTGAGCTTACAACTTCTTAAAACTGTAACTTCTTAAACCTCTAACTTCTTAAACTTGCGAAGGCGTCTGGTTTAGACTGAGTTTTTAGCTGCCATAGCTTATTCACGGATAAAATTGCCCAAGGAAACAACCCATCAGCAGAAAAAAAATAAAATTACCTGTTCACAGATTTCCTGAGTAATTCCTGGAATTTTGGGCCACTCTCCTCAGGCTAAATTTGGGAATCTCTTCATTTTTTAGGGGTGAATTCAGCAACAATGATAATATATCCCAACTGTCTCTGACACGTCTCCTCCTGCCTTATTTGTCCCAATTTACCGTCTCTGGCACTGCCTCAGATACGGGATGGAGGACAGTAAAAATGTAGGAGAAAAACTAGAGTGTCCAGCGGGCCGCCCCCCTCATGCTGCTGTGACTACCTGCAGTGAACTCAACTCAACTCCAGATAATTCTGCTTCTAAAACCTAAAATCCTGCACACTTCCCGAGTCTTCTCGGTTTTGGTCATGTCTGTTGTCACCCTGTTCTCGCCACTCCAGAGCCTGTCACCTCATTCGTAAAGAGCCTTCCCGGGCAATCTGAAAGCAGGTACCCTAACCCTTTGACAAGGAGCTGGGCTGGGTTAGGGAAGGCGGGGAGGGGAGAGGAAAGGCCCTGAGTGGCTGCGGATCATACAGCTTTTTTAAAAACCGTATAACTGATTGTTTCAAAAAAAACAACAACAACAAAACTTTAACCCCTATTTAGGACCACTACAGGAAAACAGAACGAATCTAAATTTGATTTTCAAGTGACATTCTTTTTAAGAAAGTAATAAGGCAGTATAGCGTGCTAAGACTAAGCCACGGGTTTTGAAATGTAGGCAGCAGAGAGGCGTTGGCAAAGGGCTTTGAGAAATAAGCACGTCGTTTCAAGAAGCTTTTGAATGGTGTTCACAGCCGTGCCGTGCGGCTTTTGTGATCCTGTCAGCTTCCCTTTATTGGCTTGTTTTTGCTTCCATAAAGATTTCATTGCTGTATTTAAAGGCTTCTTTTGATGCTTCTACTTATAATTATTAGACTGGGTTTTTTTCCTATTTTTTCCTTTTTTTTTTTTTTACGCCTACAGCACCTGGTCTTCCTAAAAATGGTCTCCCATCCAAGCACTAACCAGGCCCGACCCTGCTTAGCTTCCGAGATCAGCCGGGATCGCGCGTGCTCAGGGGGGCGTGGCCGTAGTATTTATTTCCTAACCCACTGAAATCCCAGGTCCCACGTATTTTTCTCTCGGTTTTCGCGTCGTAAAGGCGTCTTAAATATTCTCGCTGGTTCCGGGCTCTCCCGTATCCAACCCTTTCCACGCGTCACAGATACTAAAATCTTTCGACACTGCCAAACACGCTGGGAGGAAATCTACGTTCGCTCCCTCTATCCCAGGCCGTGAAATCTCTCTGCGTTTCTTGAGCCCCACTGGTGTCTACCAACCTTT